TGACACTGGTTTCATCCCAATCTAATATTTCTATTAAAAATTGGACACTAAAGTGCACTTTGACTATTTCCTATCAAAGTTTTGCCACTTAAGTATCTTAATTCGAAACTAATTGTCAGTAGCCACTTTTTGGGCCTTGACCAAGTCCAAATAGACAAAATACACCTAATAGACCATACACATGCATAATATAACACACATACACAAATTTGGCCTATAATCTGCCCATTTCACACTTTAGGCCAAAATCACATTTTCACATTTCTAGAATTATATATAACCAAATTACTTCGTTTAATCTCCACTCATTTCATATACACACCTAATTACATCCATCAACTAGCCTTTCCAGTCATTTTCTCATTCACACACATACAAGGCTAAGGAGTTCAAAATCACAAAAGCATACCATAAGCATAACTAATGCACATGTACAAATCCTATGGCAACTTATACATACTTTTGACTCATAATTTTACAAATCATTACACCATATCTTACAAAGATTGAGGCAAGAGATATCAGCTTAGCCTATATCCTTTCCCTTTGACCCACTAGTACCAGAACCTAAAAAATGTAAATAACCACGGGTGAGATAAAAATCTCAGTAACCAAATATAGCTCATTAAATAACTATTACCACAAATAACCATGCCAAAGTAGTTGAAAACATTATATTGCACATATACATATCACATATCAATACTAAAATATCTTTTTCACATGTAAATCACCTTTGCAATACTTTTACACCATAACATGATCAACTATCCACCAAAACTCTAAAGCTGCCCAACATGAAACCATAGGCTCTTATGGATCAACCATCTGTTGACCCGAGCTCACTTTTGGTGATGGAAACACCTAGCTAAAGATAATCTAACCCACATATAGACTATGGTTTCCCTCTTCACATACTTGCGATAGAGGTGTTGTTGACTCCTAATCGCACCCTAACGGGCACTAAGGAGTTACCAAACTGCCCAAATGTCCCATAATATAATGTACCGGATTACCTATGGTTACAGCCTATATAATGCTGCACCAGATGTCCCATAATGCCAGCCTGACCATATGGATTTTTCACTCATAAATCTTTACACATACACAACCCCACATATCCTGGGTGAACTCCTACCCCCTATGATCATGCTCTTTCTCAACTTCCACTGTATACATCTTTCCATAATATATATATATATAATATACTCATGAAAAATCCATGACTTTTCAAATTTATTTCACAATGTAAAGTTCATGCTAAAACTCATGAATTCACAATTTGATATTTGACATTCACTTTTACACAGTTATAATAGTTATTAAACATAATAAACTATATGGTTATATCAACCCTTCTGTTTGTGAGAAAGGGTTACCCGTGCATCTTCAACCCTACTCAAGCTCCTCTCTCATAATTCGTTCATCACACACTAGAATCTACACAGAATTGGCATTCAGAGTCAATTTTTCTATTGACCAAAAGTGACAATTATCGCAGTTAAACACTTAATTGCTATTAAATCCATATTTCACACTCGATTATGCACACTACTATTGATCACCCCTCATTTCAAGCTTTAACATTTTCTAGCAATTTTTCTCTCACTACTCTCTCTAGATTAGGATAATTCTTGCCTAAAGCTTTAAAACTTTATCGTTTCGACTCTAACCAGTTATAAAGCACAAGTTTAACTCTAGAGAACCTTTTTCTTACTATTGGGTAAGAAATCAAATCCTTAAAACTCCTGAATTCACTTTCTCATTAATTAAAATTAAGCAAAAATAGAGTAGATTTAGTGGTTAAGGCACTACGTGACTTACCCAATAAGTAATGAGTTAGAAATACCGTCCTTGCTCTTGATTTAGCTTGCCCTAACATAGCCTTGGCTCTTCTGCACTTGAGAACTCTCCTCCCACGTTTCTCCCTTCTATTTTCGAGCTAGACACATCCCTATTAATCGGATTTCTACTCCATGCGCTGCAGCATCTCTGCACCTACCGCAGCACGTGGCACAGTGAGGAAAATCCTCACTTTGGTTACCTGCTCTGCTTCAGGACCCTGCTCTTCTACTCATATCTGTTCATATAACATCCCAATGAGTCAATATATCACTTCACTACTTAGAACTCTAATCCTTTCATTAAATCAATAACTCATCCCTAATCAATCATGAACACAGGATTAGAAATTTGAGATGTTACAGTTCTCCCTTCCTTTTTAAGAATTTTATCCCTAAAATTGAAATAACTGAGGGTATAACTGTCTCATCTTAGCTTCTGTCTCCCAGGTTGCATCACCAAGAGTCATACCCTTTCAAAATACTTTCACTAGTCAAATAGTTTTATTTCTTAATTGCTTATCCTCCACATCTACTATTCATTATGGTTTTACCCTATAGGTCATATTTTCTCATAATTCTACTTCTTCAGGCTTAAACACATGAGAAGGACCTGGTTAGTACTTCTTGAGTTGAGACACTTGGAACACATTATGAAGCAGATAACTGTGGAGGTAAAGCAATTCAATAAGTAACTGGTCCGATCCTCTTTAAGACTTTAAACGAACCCATGAATTTAGGAGTCAATTTCTTAGCTCCAGTTGATCTCCTAATTCCTGTTACAGGCATAACCTTCTAAAACACATGATCACCTATCAAAAACTCCAATAGTCTCTTTCTTCAATCAGCATAGCTCTTTTGCCTGCCTTTAGCTGTTAATAACTTATGTCATATCAACTCAATTTTTTGAGTAGTTTGATCTATAATATTTGGCCCTACTATTCTTTCACTTAACTCGGTCTAACACAAAGGTGATCTATACTTTCCTCCATATAAAGCTTCATATGTAGCCGTTTGAATGTTGGAATGATAACTATTATTGTATGCATATTCAGCCAATGGAAAATAGCTATCCCAACTACCACGCAACTCTAACACATAAAATCATAGCATATCTTCTAAAGTCTGAATGGTTCGCTCCATTTGTCTATCAGTCTAAGGATGATAAGTAGTATTAAACTTTAAAGTAGTACCCATGGCTCTTTATAATGCTCCTCAGAACCTGGATGTAAATCTTGAATCTCGATCAGAGACTATTTCCTTAGGCACTCCATGTAAACGTACAACCTCTTAGATATAGGTCTCAGCCAACTTCTTTAAAGAATCACTGATCCTAATGGCTAAAAAGTAGGCTAACTAAGTCAATCAGTCAACAATCACACAAATAGTATCACATCTCGATTGAGTTCTTGGCAATCTAGAGATGAAATCCATGGAAATGTTGTCCCATTTCCACTTAGGTATTTCTAATGGCTGTAGTGTCCCAATCGGCCTCTGATGTTCAATTTTTACTTTTTGGCAAGTCAAACACCGAGCCACAAATTCTGTCACCTCTCTTTTCATTCCTGGCCACCACCAATAATGCTTAATGTCCTGATACATCTTTATAGGTCTTGGGTGAATAGTATACTTGCTGTAGTGTGCTTCATTTAGAATCACCCTTCTCAAATCTTCATTGTTAGGCACACAAATTTTATCTCGATAAATTATGAATCCATCATCATTAAAGCTGAAATCTTTAGCCAGATTTGACTCAACCTCTTCTCTAATCTTAAGAAGATACTCATCTTCCAACTGTGCCATTCTCAATTCCTTTTAAAAATCGCTACTAATCAGAATAGTATAAGCACCAATTAAAGCTTTTAACGGTGCATCCTGTTGAGAATCAATCATTAAATTGTGTTCTTGGATCATTAGGTTAGCTATATGTAACATCTTTCTGCTCAACATCAGCTACCATGTTAGCTTTCCCCGAATGGTATTTCAACTCAAAGTTATAGTCTTTAAGCAATTTCATCTATCTTCTTTATCTTATATTCAATTCCTTTTAGTCCATTAGATACTTTAAACTCTTGTGGTCACCGAATACGCTAAACACTAACCCAAACAAATAATGATGCCACATCTTCAGTGCAAAAAACTACTACTACTAGTTCTAAATCATGAATCAGGTAGTTCTCTTCATGTGGCCTGAGTTGTCTTGATGCATTTGCCACCACTCTTCTATCCTGTATTAGCATGTAACCCAAACCTCTTAGGGAAGCATATGTATACACCTTATATGGTAGTCTCGGATTCGGAATTATTAACACAGGCACAGTAGTTAGTCTCTCTTTTAGCTTCTAAAATATAGTCTTACACCTGTCATCTTAAATAAAAGGATGATCTTTTCGGGTCAATTTTGTCAATGGGGAAGCAATTTGAGACAAACCTTAGATAAATCTTTGATAATATATAGCTAATCCTAGAAAACTTTAAATTTTCGTAACTGAACTAGGCCATTCCCATTTTAGCATAGCATCAACTTTATGAGGATCAATAGAAATCCCATCTGTTGATATCATATGGCCCAAAAATCTCACTTCTTTTAGCCAAAACTCACACTTACTAAGCTTGGCATAGAGTTTATTCTCTTTAAGAATCTAAAGGACAATCCGAAGATGTTTGGCATGTTGTTCCTCATTTTCCAAATAAACCAGAATGTCATTGATGAAAACCACAACAAACTAGTCTAAGTATGGTTTAAAGATACGGTTCATGTAATCCATGAAAATCACAGGTGCATTGGTCAGACCAAATGGCATGACAAGGAACTCATAGTGCCCATAACACGTATAAAAGGCTGTCTTAGGTACATCTTTCCCTGAAACCTTTAGCTGATAATACCCTGACCTCAAGTCAATCTTAGAAAAGATTGAGGCTCCAGCCAATTGATCTAGCAGATCATCGATCTTGGGTAAAGGGTACTTATTCTTGACTATCACCTTGTTCAATTGTTGGCAGTTGATGCACAATCACAAACTGCCATCCTTCTTTTTTACAAACAATACTGGTGAACCCCAAGTTGATATACTCGGCCTGGTGAATCCTTTGTCAAGTAAATCTTCAATTTGCTTCTTCAATTCATTCAATTCTGAGGGTGACATTTGATATGGGGCTTTAAAAATTGGTTCTGTACCAAATCTTTGAGAATTCAACTTCTCTTTTTGGAGGTAATCCAAACATCTCCTCAGAAAATACCTTGAGAAATTCACTTGCCACTCTAATCTTCTCAATACCCCCATCATATATATTACTATCCATGTAGACTACCATGTAGGCGTCACACCCTTGGTTAACTAGCTTCTCATCTCGCATAACTAATAAAAGCCTAAGTTGCTCAGTAGAATTAGTCCCTGCCAACGACACCGGCAAAGACACTAACTTCCTGGCATAGTTTAGCGTAGCATTATTAGCTGCTAGCCAATCCATGCCAACTATCACATCAATCCCTTTCATAGGAATGCAAATCAGATCGATCACATATACTCGATCTTCAAATACAATCTCAACTCTCAAACATGCTCTGCTAGTAATACTTGAGAGTCCAGAAGGCATAGCCACTTTTAATTATCATAAATAACTCTTTTAGTTTTAATTCAATCTATCTACACATTCTTTTGAAATGAACGAATGTGTAGCTTCCATAATATGCTGTATCGGATTACCCATAGTAACAGCCTATAAAATGCTGCACCGGATGTCCTATGGTGCCAGCCCGACTATATGGATTTTACACTCACAAATCTCTACACACACAACCCCACATATCTTGGGTGAACTCGTAATCCCTGTGACCATGCTCTTTCATAACTTCTACTATATACATCTTTCCACAATATATATATACTCATGAAAAATCTATAACTTTTTAAATTCATTTCATAATGCAAAGTTCATACTAAAACTCATAAATTCACAATTTGATAATTGACATTCTCTTTTACATAGTTATAATAGTTAATAAACATAATAAACTATATGCTTACCTCAACTGTTCTGTTTGTGAGAAAGGTTACTCGTGCATCTTCAACCCTATTCAAGCTCCTCTCTCATAATTCATGCATCACATACTAGAATATACATAGAATTGACATTCAGAGTCAATTTTTATATTGACCAAAAGTGACATTATCATAATTAAACACTTAATTACTATCAAATCCACATTTCACACTCGATTATGCACATTACCATTAATCACCCCTCATTTCAAGCTTTAACATTTTCTAGAAATTTTTCTCTCACTAGCTTCTCTCCAGATTAGGGAAATTCTTGCCTAAAGCTTTAAAACTTTATAGTTTTGACTCGAACCAGTTACAAAGCACTAGTTTAACTCTAGAGAACCTTTTTCTTACTATTAGGTAAGAAATCAACTCCTTAAAACTCCTAAATTTACTTTCTCATTGATTAAAACTAAGGGAAAATAGGGTCGATTCGGAGGTTAAGGCAGTGTATGACATACCTAATAAGTAACGAGTCGAAAACACCATACTTGCTCCTGATTTAGCTTGCCCTAACATAGCCTTAGCTCTTCTCCGCTCGAGAACTCTCCTCCCACATTTCTGCCTTCTATCTTTCAAGCCAGACACGTCCTTATTAATCATATTTCTGCTCCATATGCCGCGGCGCATTTGCCACCTACCGCGGCACGTGGCACAGTAAGGAAAATCCTTACTATGCTCACCCATTCTGCTTCTAGACCCCGCTCTTCTACTTATATCTGTTCATATAACATCCCAATAAGTTAATATATCACTTCACTACTTAAAACTCTAATCCCTTCATTAAATAACTAACTCATCCTTAATCAATCACGAACAAAATATTAGAAATTTAAGATGTTACACTTTCGATGGTAGAAAACCCGACCAAAGGTAATTTAAGCCACCTACAGACTATGATTTTCCCTCTTCACACACTTGTGATAGAGGGGTCGTTAACTCCTAATCATACCCTATTAGGCACTAGGAAGTTGCCAGCTTGCCCAGATGTCCCATGGTAATAGTCCCATAATGTGTTATACTGGATTGCCTATAGTAACATCCCATATAATGCTGTACTAGATGTCCTATTGATAGAACACATTTATTACCCACTTTTATTTGTCAATTAGGACCATTTTATTAATGATTTATCACCTTCAAGTGCACACATTACATTAGATTTGGAACTTTGCCTAAGTTTCTAAGATCAGTGCACTAGGGGCATTTTGGTCCAAAAAATAAAATTTTGAGAAAATGTACAAGAAAAATTGACAAAGTGCATTTTATGTCCAGTTGATGAATGGTGAAATTATATTTTTAAAATTCATTTTAGTTTGGGAGTAATTAAATAAAAAAGTCAACACTTTCTTAAGTGTCTTAGTTTGTCCTAGTTTTTGGTTTGCCTTTGTGTGAAAATTTTTATATAATTTTGTGCAGCCTGAAACTTGGTTAATTTAATAAATTCTCCCTTCTAATTATGAATTTAATTCTGGACATGAATTATATTTTATTATATCATATGCTATTTAATTGAATTATGTGATTTATGTGACATAGGTAGCATGTGACTTGTGCATCAATTGGGCAATTGAGGTCAACACTCCTTGAGGACAATGGCTGATGGTTTGCACATGAATTATGATTATTTTGAGGGATTAGATCAGCTAAAATGATGTGGATGACACATGGGAAATTAGGCACACATTGGAATCATCTACAAACCAATAGGAAGTTGCCACCTTGCAAGTGTGACAAGGCTCCCATTTACATTTTAATTTCTTTTTCCTTATTTTAATTAAGCTTCAGCTGATGGGAGACACCAAGAAGCACGCCATTTTAAGTCCCAAATGGGATCCAACACATATCTCATTCATCTTCCACATTCTCTCTCTCTTGTTCATAGTGTTCTTCATTTTCTCTCTTTTGCTCTTCATTTTCCAGCACCCTAACCTCCATTTTTCAGCCACCAAACCTCCACAAAACTCATACCATTCTTCTCCTCTCTTCATTTTTGTTCCATCCCTTCCATTTTCACAAGGATTAAAGCTCATTTTCATCATTCAAGAGCTATGGAGTTTGGCCTTCACAAGCAATCACTAGGGTTCTTGAAGATGAAGATTGGCTAAGTTTCTTTGTGGAATCCTAGAGAGATGAAGATGGAGGATGAGTCTTGAGCTTCAAATTGGCTAAGTTCTTTTGTTTCCTATCCTCTTCTCTTTTTACTAGATGGTTAGATTCCTTAATCTAGGGTTTAATCATCTTAGCTTATAAATTCTAATTTGAATTTGATGTTGATGTAAAGAGAGAGAATTGTTTCATTTAATTTCTTTCTTGGACAGCCATGACTGAATTTTGCCACTCTTTGTTTGGCACATAATCTTGTGTTTTTCAATTAGTGAATTTCTTGTGTTAATATTGTATAATCTTGTGGTGTTAATGCTTGTGTTGTTGAGTAGCTTGACATAATCTTGTGGTTGCTCAATTTATGTGTTTGACCATGGCTGTTGAGAGAGGATTTTGAATGAATCACTTGGCTAATGTCTTCACCAATTGGTTAATTGAACTAGGGACTTTAATCTAAGACCTAGGGAGGTTAGCTAATTAGGTTAATTGGCTTAGGATAATTTTCTTAAGTCATGACAGCTTTAGTCAAGAGAAAGGGAAGCTAAACTTAGCCTAATCATGAGAAGATAATGAGTCCAAAATCAACTAATCTCTAGGGTTCCATTATTGTAAAAAGGAAAGTTCATTTCACTCACTTTCACTAGCATTTTAATTACTTGCATATTAGGTAATTAGTTTAGATAATTAGCTAGATAACTAAATTCCTACAAACTTTGGTTGATTTATTTCACTAGATAACTTTCAATTAGACTTAAAACCATTCCTTGAGAGATGACTTAGGGTTGGCCCTATATTGCATTAGGGTTAGCTTTAGTGTAATTTTGAGGATAAGTGACCTATCATGCCAGCCTAACCATATGGATTGTTCAGTCGAATATCTCTATACATACACATCCCCCATATCTCGGTGAACTCCCACCCCCTATAATCATGCTCTTTCACAATTTCTACTACTTATATACATTTCCACAACATATATAATGTCATACATCTATATATATATATATATATATCATTTAAATTCAAATAACCTTTCAACTCTTAGTTTCCAAACCATTGCTCATGCAAAAACCATTTCAATGAAAATTCATGCATAAAACATTTCAAAACCACAACTTTATCATTTGTATTTAGTTCTATACAGTTATAATAGTTAATAAACACAATCAGCTATATGGTTACCTCAACCTTTCTATTCAATAGAAAGGGTTACCTGTGTAACTTCAATCCTATGTAAGCTCCTTTCTAACAATTCGTGCATCTACATAGAATTGGCATTCAAAGTCAATTCCTCTAATGACCAAAAGTGCCAAGTATCACATTTAAACACTTAATCATTATCAATTTCACATTTCACACTCAATTATGCAAATTGCCACTGATTACCCCTTATTCCAGGCTTTAACACTTCTAGACAATTTCTCTCACTACTCTCTCTCTAGATTAGGGAAATTTTTTCCTACAGCTTCAAAGCTTTATTGTTTCAACTCTAACCACTATAAAGCACTAGTTTAGTTTCAAAGAACCTTTTAATTGCTAAATTAACTCCTTAAAACTCCCAAATTCACTTTCTCGATAAGTAACAGGTCAGAAACACCATCCTTGCTCTTAATTTTGCTTGCCCTAACAGATCCCTTGCACTTCTCCACGTTTGACTCCTTCTCTCATGTTCTCCCTTCTATTTTCCATAGCTAGACATGTCTTATTAATCAAAATTCTACACCATACGCCGTGGCGCATCTATCCCCCACTATGGTGTGTGGCACAGTGAGGGAAATCCTCACTATGCTTACACGCTCTACTTTAGGACTTCACTCTTCTAGTCATATCTGTTAGTATAACATCCCAATGAGTCAAAATAACACTTCACTACTTATAATCCTATTCCACATTAAATCACTAATCCATTCTTAATCAATCATTGATATATAATTAGAAATTTAGAATGTTATACCATGGAAAAAGCTACATGCGCTATAGCGCATTGTCTAAGGATCACTTAAAGTTGATATGATCAGCTCATGAAATTAAAAGGTAAAAGGTTGAAAATATATCTGGAGGGGTGGAGACATTCAACTCTGCTAGGGCAAGTGATATTTGGTGCTCGAGAGTCTACTTCAATTAATAACTTGCTGGGTAAGTATCACGCAATCATAAGCTTTAATTCTACCTCTTTTTCATTGAATTTCATTGGTTGAGAAATCGGGTCATGAAGTTTTAAGGTGTTTTAATCTAAAAGAAAGGGTTAAAACGAGATATCAAATACAAAACTAAGGTTTTGTGACTAATATGGAATTGAATGGTTAGGCTTCAAGGATTTAGGCTCATTTAGCCTAAGAAAGTTAGGCTAAATTGAGAAATTAGATGAATAAGTGAGTCCGAAGGTTGTTATGGTTATTTAAATTATTTATAAGGCTAATGATTATAAATAATGGATAAGTGAATTCA